AAACAGGATTTTTGATCCATGGTTGCGACTGTGGATGCAGAGGGCTGACTTAAGTTATACAGGGATTTTCAACTGCAAGGGAATCGATGTTCCTAACCCCTTTGTTGTTCAAGGGTCAAATACATACATATATATAAAATCAGGACCCAAGCAAGGACCACACATTGCATTTGACGGATATGTCTTTTAAGTTTCTTTCTTTTTTTAATCCTCACCTGAGGCTATTTTTTCCATTGCTTTTCAGAGAGAGTGGAATGGAAAGAGAGAGAGATTGATGTGAGAGAGACACATCAATTGGTTACCTCCAGAACGTGTCCCGATCGGAGCCAAGCCTGCAACCGAGGTACCTGCCCTTGGCCAGAATGGAAGACGGGGCCCTTCAGTCCTCAGGCCGACGCTTTAGCCACTGAGCCAAACCAGCTAGGGCTTAAGTTTCTTTCTTAACCTGAAGGTTCCCCTTCCCTCTTTCCCTCATTTTTTGAATAGGGTCATTTTTTTCTGCAGAGTTCTCCCCATTTTGAAATTTCTGATTCAATCCCTGTAGTATTATTTAACACGTTCCTCCTCCTCTGAATTTTCTATAAATCCAATGTTAGATTTAGAATCTCAGTCTGATTTGGGTTTGTTTTTTTCCCCAGGAACACATCACTGGTGTATATTTCCATCAGGGGCACATTATGACTAGATGTCTCTCTCTGCTACCAATGAGCAATACCTAGCTAGACCCATTATTCCATTAAGGTTTTGCAAGATAGTAATATTCTAATTCTATTATTCCTTCTACATTTATTACCTGGCATATTTCTAAATCGAGAAATTTTCCTCTATCAACTATTTGGGTTGCTCTGAGATACACTTTGAAAGAGAAATCACTGCCTGCCAGAAAAAAGGCAAACTCAGATGCACCAGCTGTGCTGCATGGTAAGTGTTCATCAGAGCGTTGGTGCAGGAGGACGACGGGGTGACCAGCAGAAACGAGATGTGAGTTCCTCCTATCTAGGGACCTCATTACTTCTGCCTGGATAATTCTGATCTGGCTGACTGCTGAGCCCTTGTCTCCACTTCACAATATAGTCTTACCTGCACACTCCCTCAAGCTGTTAATGAGCTGTGTTCTGACTCCATAGTTCAGCTCTGAGGGCAGGAGCTCCACCTTACACTTCTCAAGCACGCTGTAGACCTGGCAAGGCTCTGAGCATGGAGCAGGCTATCAATACATGACTGATGGCTGCTTGTAAATTCAAGGTGATACATTATTTTATCACTCTCATAATCATCCCCAAAAGCCATCTGAAATGTCTATCGGGTCGCAGGGCTGGATGGAATGACATAGTTCCACCCCTCAACAAGTCTTAAATCAATAATGGATAACACCATCACAGAGGCGGTGTTTTCTGGGGCCAGCCTTCTGGGAGGAAATTTGGCAATAATAGGGTATTGAGAATGAGTGTGCTCTTTGACGCAGCAATATCATTTGCAGGGCTTTATCCTAAGAAAATGAGACCAGTATTTTGAGTGACAATATGTGTGTTACAAGAAAGTAGGGATTGGGCAAGGAAATTGTGACACATTCATACCCTAGAATACCACAGGGCAGTTAAAATCAAGTTTCAGATGAGTACTGGCTGACGTAGGAGAATGTTCACAACATATTACTACGTGAAGGAGAGAGGTTGCAAACAAGGGTATGCACATGACCTCAGTTTCGTTTCTACGAATATGCACACGAATGACTGAAAGGAGATTCACAAAACATTAACAATTATAAGATGTCCTAGTGGTGAGATTGAGTTTTTTCTTTGTACTTCTCTATACTTTTCTAAGATTTTTTACACTAAACAAAGATTTCTTGTGTAAGAAACATAATTAAGAAACTTCCAAACTGTCTTCTGAGGTGGCTCCATCATTTTGATTCCCACCAGTAATGAGCACGAGTTCCTGTTGCTCTGTATCCGCACCAGCATTTTGTATTGTCAGTTTTTTGTTTTTTAAATAAGTATGTAGTGGTATCTCATGGTTTTTAAACTTGCATTCCATAATTACAAATAATGTTGTGCATCTCTTCATATGCTTACTTGTCATGTGTATATCTTCTTTGGTAAGGTGTCTGTTCATATCTTTTGCCCATTTTTTCGTTGGATTATCCGTTTTCTTATTGTTGAGTTTTAAGAGTTCTTTCTATATTTTGCATACAAGTTCTCTATCAGATATGTTTTGCAAATATTTTCTCCAGCCTGTAGCTTGTCTTTTCATTCCCTAATTGCTAACTATTTTAAATAAAAAGAAAACCCTCCTGGTAAGCTTTAAGGATACACCTGCTTAAAAACCATCAAAGGGTACCCATTTAAGGCTGCTGGTTTGTGAATTACAAATAGGGACTCCCTCTGGAAAGACCTAGAACCAGGCCAAGATAGGTATTAGGATCTCAGCCCCATCCGTGCCCTTGGCTGATGCCTTTGTACAAGGCACAAACTGCACAATCGAATTGCAACAAGCTACATTGATCTGAAGTGTATCCTTACTGCATTTATAGAACCTTCCATGACAGGGCTCTTGCCTATTCTCCAGTCACATCTCATTCTTCTGTCCTTCCTCTCTATAGCCACAAAAGCCTTTTCTCAGCAACTTGAAGGGGCTTTGCTTCCAGCCTCAAGATTTTCCTGTTTCCTCTGCCAGTGTGGCAGGCTGACTTTTAAGATGGACCCCAATGATCCTCACTTTCTGATATTCTGTCTTGTGTGGTCCCCTCCCCTTGAGGTGTGCTAGACCTTGTGACTTGCTTCTAATGAACAGAACAGAGCAAAAGTGATGGCATCAGTTCTAATATTAGGTTGTAAATGACTGTAACTTCTGTCTTGCTTGCACTCTCTCTCTTCCTCTTATTCCTTCACTCTAATGAAGCCAACTGATGTGTTGTAAGCTATTTATGGGGAGGCTCATATGGCAAGGAACTGAGGGGGGCCTTGGGCCAACAGCTTATGAGGAGCTGAGGCCTCAGTCCTACGGCCTGCAAGGAACTTAATACTCCCAACAACCACTTGAGTCATGTTGGAAGCAGATCAACCCCAATTAAGCCTTTAGGTTACTTCAGCCCTAGTTGACACTTTGAAACCTTTTGACAGATGGTGAGTCAGAGGATTCAGCTAAGCTGTACCCAGATGCCTGATCTCTAGAAACTGTGAGATAATAAATAAATGTTACTGTTTTAAGCCACTGTTTTTTGGGGCAATTTGTTATGCAGCAATAGATAGCTAATACAGTCAGGAATATTCCCCTACTCACTTCCCACCTCTTTAATTGCTGTGTGTCTTCAAGTCTCAGGTTTCAATGTCACTTCCTCAGGGAGACTTCCCCTTCCCCTGATAATCCCCCATACATGAGCAAGCCTTTGGTTATACACTCTCATAGCATTCTCTTCTCTTCTGCCACACTCATCAGCATTGCAATTAGTTCATTATCTGAGCATTTGTTTCCTGTCTGTCTTCCTCCAAGACTTATCAGTTCCCAGTCAGAGCTGGCTATATTTTTTCCACACTGAGTGCCACAGAGTGGGATACAGTAATTGTAGGATGAAAAAAAGAAGAAACAAATGAAGGAATTAATAAATGAAGTACACCAAAGCCTTGCAGTTCAGAAAGGAGCCAGAGAAAGCCCAGTGCTCTAGTAAAGACAGCTATAAAAGTCACAATTCCCAGGCTATATTTTTTAAAATACCAAAAACAGGAAACAAAAATGAAACCATGTCAACATGTTCTAGATAAAAATTTGTTATGACAGAGTGCATTATAGCCAAATTCTCTGCATAAGTAAAAAGTCCAGCAAGGGTTAACTTATAATCCAGGATCTTGATAAACGCTTTGCAGTTTTAACAGGAATAACAGAAACTAACCTGGATAATAAAGGGTGAGTGAAGACTGAGTAGGTTTAACAGAACCTGCCCCACATTACCAATAGGCTGGAGCTGGCATTCCTCTGCTTCGGATATTAAATCTGGGAAAGGTATCCAGCTTTTTCTGTGAAATGAATAAATTTTTAGCTAAATGCTAAAAGAAGGATTTTAAAGTTTGAAGATCCGTGTGGCCACAGAAAGGTAAATTCAGTCCCATTGTTTCAGTTGGCAAAACTCCTACAGGACATTTAAAATGATAATAGTATATAATCAGCAGCTCTGTATTATACCTAGTGAACTTGTTTCATTAGCAACTCCTAATCTTCACTGCCTCCCAAATAACATTCCACTCCCTCATGGGACGCTTAGCTGAACCTTCCAGCCTGTTCTTTTACCGCACCCCTTCACATACATCATGCCTTTGCCATTCCTGTCACAGGGCACACTTGTTCATCTCTGCCTTTGCACATGTTTTTCCTCCAACTGGAAGTCCCCCTTTAGTGCCACCCAGTCCCTGCAACCCCAAATTCTAATCAGAACACTCCTGGTTCCCCTCAGAAGTGATTGCTTTTCTGCTCTGTCCTCTAGGGGCACTCAGTGTTTACCTCTTCCCTGGCCTCTGTCATATTCAATGTTGTTTCGTGAGCAGGTATGTATTTTACTCATCCTTTCTACTACCCAAACCTGGTAAGGTCTCTGTCTTGATGATGATCTTTCCCTACATAACCCAACACAAGGCTTTGGATGGAGCAGGGACTTAATCCATATTTGTTAAATCAATAAATAAATAGTTAATGAAACACATATGCTAAAAGGCTTTTAAATGAATCAGATATACTTTATATCTTAATGCCAATAATAATATAGAAAGAGATTTATTTAAAATATTTAATTTGCCTTTTTATAAACTTTTGTTTTCAAACATACCAAAGACACTTTGTCATAAAACAAAAAGGAACTCAGAGATGAATAAAAATAGTCTAGTGGATTATTTCCTCATCAGTCCACTAGAACACTGGCTAAATGTCCTAGTATGTTATCTAAATAGTCACATAGAAGCCAGGGAGATAAATAAATGACAAAGCAAACTATTAAATACAGGAAAATGAGCTTTTCAAGAGCTTTCTGGATTTCTTTAATAGTCTATTGTTGAACTTTTAACAAAATAATTTGAACAATTAAAAAAGTTTAATAATAACAAATATTAGTCAGATGTAAAGTGATTAAGTCAAAATGATGACTTAATTACAGGGACTTAATTACAGAAATGGAATATACCAGATTATTTAGGGAATGATATTTGCGAGGACAGTGTTTTCACGACCAAGTCCAGTGTATCCTGAATCCTCAAGTTATTTCTTTCTGTCAGGAAAGACGGTCTCCCAGATGATTTGCTTTCTTCTGGTTCAAGGGGGAGAAGAGTATGAGGGTTGTACAGACATCGAGGCTCCCCTAAGATGCCAACACTGTGAAAAGAATTATTGGTATAGCTGAAGCAGTGAGGCTAAAGACTAAGGTGTATGGCTGTGGCTGTGTGTGTGTGTACACATAGCTATTTTTTTTTTAAGGGGGAAGCATTCCTTGTTTCTCTGAACCACCACTATGGTCTTAATTATGTATCAAAAAACTCAGTCCAAAGCCAGATATTATACTGGCCCTTCTCACATTTCCCAAGGATGATTCTTCTAATGGAAAAACAGCCTTATAGAGTCTACAACTCACTTGTCCAAACTAGAGCTATTTGTAGTCTAGCTTAATGTTCTAGCAATCTTTTCTAGTCTGGATGGATGTACCAAGAGCTTCTCTGGAAAGGAAACAGGTGGAAAGGGGTAGGGGGTGGGTAATAAGATGGTGATTTCATCTTTGTTCAGCTTTCTGGCAGACACATGGTGTCTGAGGCCCTGTCCCTCCAGGCCCAAACTAGGAAGTGACACTCTGGGCCCTCTTTTCTCTCTCCTTGGGCCACTTACATTGGCATGGGCACAGAGTGCAGATTTTCCATGTGCTCTTGCATCTTGTCTGGGAATTTGGTGCCTACTTGATTATATTTTTTCTCAAAGATATTCTGAGCTTTTTCTCTGAGAGACGGCAGAAGAGTAGACATGACTGGAGAGCGCATGTTAATGGCTGTTTTAATCGCTGGGCGTTTTGCCATCATTCTCCTATGGGGAGAAAGGTGACATTTAGGCCACATCATCCTGCTTTCTAGGAATATCCTTGAGCTTAGGAAAGTCAAAAGTCATACCTAAATTGCACAAATGTCATGCGTTTCTTTTCCCCTCCTGATTCTTCATCCTCACGCTTTCTTCGAGGAATATTGAACATATTGGTACGAAAGAGCCTCCCTATTTCTTCCTCAATCTCTGTGAAGTGTTGACGTCGGAAAACAATCCAAGCTACATATGTACAGAAAGTAAAAAAGGACTACAACAGAAAACAGACAAGAATCACAACCCACAGCTATGATATGAAAAACTCCCACCTGTCTACTTAACACTGCTAAGTAGATGCAAACCCAGATGATCCAATTTCTCAACATTCTTAAAAAGCTATAGAAAATTATACAAATACTCACCTTTGCAGGAGGAAAATCAGATCAAAAATTTAAGTTGTGGCATATAGTTTGTTAGTATTCTTTTGAGAAAGGACATTCACTATAAATAAGTACCTGGCAAATGGCTATTAGTTATTACTATGCTTCATGTTTCATATAAAAGAGGAAAGCCCCCAAATATAAGTGACTCACCTCAAAGAATTTCCAGTCTTTTTGTGTATCTGATATTTTCTCCCTGCAATATAACGAATTACAACTCTAGGTTGAGAGGGAAGTTCAATCTTTCAGTGACCTAAGTAAACCCTTATCTTCAAAAGATCCCTTTGCAGAATCATACCTATGGCCCCAAGACTATTTAGGCACATGCCATCAAAATGCAGATGAGTCCCAATATCTTTTCCTCCAACTTCTAAGGTTACCCAGATCAAAACCCCTTGAGTGTTCCATCAAAGGTTAATCAATATAAATTCAGGATAAAGCAGCCAGCTATGAAATGTATTCTTCCAAATGCTACTGGTGATGTGAGTGTTGGGGAGGTGGGGAAGGTGGAAAGATAATGAAGAGGCAACATGAGGTGTTAGTAGGTATGGAAATAAAGCAACTAGAGGGTAAGTCTAAAATAAAGAAGAAAAACAACCTTAAACGATGGTAATGGCTATTGGCTGCAAGAAGAAATGGAAATATATCATTATGCCATGCAAATATAATCTATGCCATGCAATCAATAGACTGGGAACAGTAGTGTGCTATTCCTTCTGAATGAGGTATGTAGACTGAGCCTTATCTCTTAAAGGCAGGCATTTGTCCAAGCGTCCTTGCAACACAAATTTAATGTTAAGGATACTGTACTTGCATGGGCACACTTAGTGAATTCAGCCTCCACTCCCCAACACAGGCCATTCTGATTCTGATTCCCAGCCCTAGGAAAGCAGGCATGGCCTGGGGAGGACTTGAGAGCTGACAGAGAGGGCTGTGCACCTGCAGTCACTTAATTAGTCATGAGCGTCAAAGCACTCCCAGGTTGACTCTGGGTTTGCTTCTGCTTTTGCTTGGGCCTTATTTGGAGTATCTGACCTAGGACTGGCCCTGGTATCAGGCTCTAAATTCCTTTGGTCTGGTGAGGATGATCCAAATCCCTCAGGACCTTCAACCTTCTTGCAGGGACTTCACGATCAGCATGAACCCAAACTAGACTTCCATTTTGGGGAACCACTGAAGAAATGGTTGAGCTTTTACTGAGGTAGGTCCCTCCCCTCCTATAGACTCTTCATTTACACACTGGTTTCCTTGTATGCAAGTCTTCAACAAAGAATTAAGACAATGGTAATTGCAGTGAACATTTACTAAGTGTGGGCTATGTGTCAAGATCTATGCTAAGCCCTTTGCATTTATCATATTTAGTTCTCATAAGATCCCTATGACGTAGTCAGCCTTACAGCTGAGGAAAATGAAGTTGAGACTCAAGTCCAAAGACACATATTTAGTTAGGGGTAGAGGTTGTACTAAAACTCAGGCCCGTCAGAGCTCCACATTTGCCCTCATAATCAGAATGCAAGGGAAACAAGCTATTTCTTTACAATATTTTGCACACTAGTTAAAAAATATTAAACCAACAGAACCCAGCAGAAACTTTTTGGGATAAGCCTCAGCATCCTTCTGTCCCACCTGAAGTCTCTGTCTGACAGGAGTGCTTTTGTGGTATTTCCCCCCTCCTACGCACTCTGCCAGCTGAAACCAGAGACCATCAGACCTGCCACACTGAAGCAGAAACCAGTCAAACCCTGTTTTTGGAATACCAAATCAGTTTTGTTCTGTGAGGTTTAGAGTAGTATTACATTGGCACAACCCAACTAACACCATCTCAGCAAGGTTTTGAAATGACAGAGTAATTGTCCAAGAAACACACGCTTTCTCTCCTTTTCTTTGTCTTCTTTTTTTAAATATTAGAAGAAAAGGTATCATAAACTCCCTCCCCTTTTCCTCAAGCTGCCATAAAACTGGGACTTCTTTCTCTCTTAAAGTCCAAAGCAAATTGATGTAGCCCACACTGCAGTAATTAAGTACAGACTGTAGTGGGTTTCTTCTCACCATTCTGACTTAGCTCTGCATATGAAGCTGAACCGAGCCCAGGAAATGAAGGCAGAGTGTGAGTACATTGGGCACCTCATAGTTTAAATCTGAATTCCTCTCTCGCTGGTGCATTTTGAGTCATTTTGCTTTTCTTTCTATTTTATTTCATAATTTTTATATTAAGTACATAATAATAATAATAATAATAATAATAATAATAATAATAAATTGATTAGCCCTGTCCAATGTGGCTGGGTGTCATCCAGTGCACTGAAAGGTTGCTGGTTTGGTTCCTGGTCAGGGCATAAGCCCATGTTGTGGCTCAGTCTCCGGTAGGGGGTGTGCAGGAGGCAGCCAACTGATGTCTCTCTCTCTCTCTCTCTAAAAACCAATAAAAAATCTTTAATAAAACAAATTGATTATAAATTTAGGAATGTATCTAGTCTAAATAACAAATTTAAGCCCCTCAAATCCTTTACAAATTGAAACAGGGTTTATAATAGCATAATCCAACAGAAATACAATGCAAGCCACAAATGTAATTTAAAATTTTCTAATCGCAACTGTAAAAAAAAAAAGGTGAAATTAATTTTAATAACACATTGATTGTATTCAAACCCCCCAAATATTATCAGTCATTCCTGAAGGGATGCAAAGCCTAGGGCCAGACGCACTGAGGCTCTGGACCGGAGAGAAGAAAGTTGTGTTCCACTTGCCCCCTGCTGCTTTAGGTGAAATCAGACTGAAATGGAGGTCAAAAGGCCCGCTCTTTACCAGGGAAGAGAAAATTCAAAGGAATGTGTTTGCGGGGAGGGGAATAAGGCCTTGGTGCCTGTGACTGGGGATGAGCGTGGGGGAATGGGGCTTAAGGATGATTTACACACTTGAGCTTCAAAGAGCCCTTTCTCCCCATCCTTAGGCGCACCTCTAGCCTCTTTGGTCACCCATCAGGCGACAACTGCATTAAGAGCACAGGAGGAGGGTATATGGTAGAGGTGGGGGTGGAGCCAGAATTGGCCAGACCAAAGAACAGATCTAATTCCATAGCATGTGCCATTAAGGGAGTTTTCTTCTCTATCCTGGAAAACACAGAGAGCTTTCACTGAACATGTTCATCGAACCTGTGCCAAAGCTTTTGTGATATCAGGATTTCAGACATAGTTAGAAGAGAAAGGCATGTCCTCCTACTTCTCAAGAAACATGAAAGCACTAAATTAACAGCCCCCAAATTGTTGGTTCTACTGAAATCTTTAATTTATCCCCAGAGATAAATAGCATAAGGTGTTCTAGTCCACTATTAAAGAGATCCATATTATAGAGGAAAGTCAGAAAATACTCATGAAAACATTCTCACAAGAATATTAGCTTATTCACTTTGGGAGGAAGTGAAATAATGATGTTAAAATCAGTTAATCACTCATAACTGGCAAAAACATTGTCCTCGTTTCCTGGAAAAAACAACTAAAAGAACAATATAAACTCCACTTAAGGACATAACACCATGGCCAATAAACAAGTTTTACTGGGGAAAAAACGTGCTGTAATCTGTTTTCTTCGATATCCTTTGTTTAATTTTTGACCTGTATGAAATTTAAGTGAATGGTGGTGGGTGGTAAGCTCTAAACTGATTCTTCTCCAACCGCTATCTAATAGGCAGGAGAAAAGCAGGTGATGGTGCATATTAACGAGACACAAAGACCATCTCCTGAAAATGAGCTAGTACTAACTGAGGCAATCACAGTCAAACAAAATGAGTTCCTTTAAAAGTCTGAATAAACATTACACTGTAATAAAAATGTACTGTTAAAAAGTATAATAATTTATGTGGCATTTCTATATCCAGGGAACTAAAAGATATCACAAAAACTCTAATTCATGAGATAACTATTTATACTTTCTTAACCCCAAATTAGTTTGTAATGCATATGTACTTTAAAGATTAAACATTAAGAATAGGCAATAAGATTATTTTTTTGAGCCGAAGCCTGTTCACCACAACTGACCAGAGTCCGCAAAGTCTCTGCTCCAAGCCGGTCCGGACTGCCCCGACCCATTCGAACTGCCAATATTCTAATCCCAGCACCATCACTTTGTTGGATGACCCTGGGAAGATTGCTTTTAAATTTTAATTACTAATAGTGTATAAACTGTCATCCTTAGGTAAAAATTACCTTCCAACAAACAGGGCCATCTTATAAACCCCACTTCACTAGCTTGTACTCACAACTGTGGTTGCTACAACACAAAGGGCAGGAGATGCACCCAATACCCCCATCAACACTGGCCCATCACATGGTCTCACTCCCAAGGCAGACAACTGGCCCTTGTATGGCAGCAGGAAGCCTTCCTGGTTGAGAGCAAGATTCCATTAATCTGATATATGCTGAGAGAAAAGACATTTAAACCCAAGCAGTAGAGGGTTGTTAAAAATCAGCTGAGATTCTTCCCATACTCGCTTCTCTCTCTCAAAAGGGACATTTCTCTGTCCTTGTTTGAAACAGAGCCTCAGCTGAGCTCAATTACTCTGTACAACAAAACAGGAACCTTTCTCAAGGGCACCAAAAGTCAAATTTAAGAGTCTTAAGGATGTGGATATACAAATGAAGATAGAATGAAATCCTACGTGTGCACTTACTTCCCGCAGCACATATGATGCTTGTCAGGCATTCCCAGGCCCAGGACCAGGATACAGTACTTCTGCGCCAAGTATTTCTGGGCTGCTTCTAATTTACTTGAAACCAATTCCAACTCTTTTTTCTCTACAAGGCCCCTGAAAAGAAAAACGATAATTTGGATGAATTTTGGCAAATGCATATATAAATTAATAGAAAGTCAGAAGGATAAACTATTTTGAAAGAAATACAAGGGAGTTAACACATCCGACTTATCCCTTCATTTATTTTATTCAAGATGTGGGAGAGGTCCTCAAAGTCCTCTGATATTTATCATTGTCACCAGCACCTCAAGTTTATGGCAGATTTCCACTTTTACATAGATTCTTTATACTTTATGCCATATATCCCTAATTTTATATACAGGCAGTCCTAACTTATTTTCTATCTTGGTTTCTGAGGTAGCTAGCAGCCCACTTCCCTGCTGTTTTGCTATAACAGTCATGGAGACTCCCATCTCAGCTTCATCTGGGTTCCTGATATTACAACTAAGAGCAGAGGGGAGGGGAGCTCAGTGTTTGCCTACTCTCACCTCTGTGTTTGCTGAGCAGGCATCTGTGGACTAAGACTCTGAAACTTTGGCATCAATTTCAGTAACTTTTCTTTCCCTTGAAAACACACCCCAGTTCTAACTGAATTGCAAATGAACTTTAAAAGACTGCCTGTTCTTAGGTTACAGCATATCTGAAGTCTAATTTTAGAAGTTTTTGCAGTATAGAAGGAAACAATATTGCCCACATTACATTCAATGACCACTATTGAAAAGGTAAGTGTCACTAGCTTTTTCTTTGCCTTTTAATATTCAGAAAGATTTAAACCAAATGAAATGTACTCTAAACAAAAGGGGCAAATTATTGCCCCTTCTGATGTTAACCACTAGACTGACCACCTGAGGAGATGCTGTCGGGGGAAGGAGGTGGGTTTGAGAATAATACAGATAGTTCAAAGTACAAAACATTATCATATGTGATGAGAAGGCTTGTGAGTGGCTGAAATAAAATAAGTTTCTGGAATAAACTGAATTCCAACTTTAAATGCCCAAGTTTCATGTAACCCAAATACACATCCCTGCACGCACCCCAAAGGCCATCACTGTGCCTGCCTCCGTTTCCTTCAGTAGTCCCCACCCTCACCATTCACTCCTGCTTTGCCAGAGCTGCCAGTAGCTAATATTCTTCTTTTGTTGTTGTAAACAAAACAACAACAATTACGAAACACCTTGAGACTTTTAGGCCAATGGTTCTCAAGTTTTAATATATGTAAGAATTGCCTGGAGTTACTTGCTAAAAGTGCCGATTCCCAGTGCCTCCCCCTCTCAAAGATTCTGATTCAGTAGGTAGGGGTAGAACTTGGCATTTAAAACAAGCCCATGTATAATCCTCTGGGGGAAAATCTGATAATAATTTCAAGCGCCATACAATTGATTATAAATTTTGATCCAATAATCTCTCCTGGAAATTTATTTTTTCTTAAATTATTCAAAATTAGGGGAAAATCTCATGCATGAAGATATTCAATACTTAAAGCATTCAATATTCAAAGCATTTATCTTTTGTCTATCAGAAAAACTAGAAACTCCCAAAATATATAAAATAGAAAGACAAAATGAGTAGTGATATAGGCCAGAGTTAGGTTAGAGTTCTCGGCATGGAAACTTGAAGAGAAACAAAAGCAGGAATACACAGATGAAGTCAGTTTTGTTCACATCGACATCTACACATTAGAATTCCTAATTATAAATGGATGAACTTCGGAAACACGAGCATAGCTGATTGGAAGCAGGTGGTGCTCACATTGCACAGAGGTTTAGGCACAGGCTTTGGAGATAGACAGACCTGGGTTCTAATGTCAGCTCCACCAATTACAAGGTATGTTATCTCCAGCCCACTATTTAACCTTTCTGAGCCTTAGCTTCTTCATCTGTAAAATGGGGATAAGGCTTCTTTTTCTGGAATTAGGGGTTTTAACCATCTAAAACCATCAAATGTATCTTTACTATTCTCCTACATCCCTTTCTGCTCCTCTCACAGTTTGCAGGCTTTCCTCCCAAGTGCCAAGCTCTAGGTTAAAATAATATGTATTATTACTCTGTGAAGCTGGTACTATTGTTATCCCTGTTATACCTCATTAGTTTGACCAAAATCAATGTTTTTGCTTAAAGTTACTTATGTCCAATATCTCAATGCAATCTATATTTACTTCTGTTATAATAAGTAAACTGGAAGCCTGAAAATGAAGTTACCACAATTTTTTTTAGAATCACACCATAGAATCAATAATTTTAAGTCTTGTTGTTGTTTGGTTTTTTGTTGTGTGTTTTTGTTGTTGTTGTTTGAGAGTATGTTTATTAAAGTTGGGGACAGTGAAACAAAAGGAGGGTTTAAGATAGAAGAGGCAAGATCACAGCAACAGGAGTGAGCCTATGCAGAGTTGCCTTGGCCCTTCAGAAAGAAAGTCACAGAGGCAGAAGGAGTGAGCCAGCTGGGCTGCGTGGACTCAGTAAACAGTTACAGAGGCAAAAGAAGGGCCCTTGGAGACAGGTTTGGGGGGTTAGCCCAGGACAGCAGCTGCCCACTGCTGGTTGCAAGTCTTATGGGAACCCTTGGAGCTTAGGAGAAGGAAAGCAAAATACATGCCTGAGGAAAGAAAGTGGGGGGAAGGTGCTGGCATGCTCAAGAGAGAATGCACTTGTTTTTTTCTTTATCATTCTGTACCTGATTCCTTCTAAGAAAGCCTGCCAGGCGGGGCGGGGCTCAGCGGTTGAGGGTCAACCTAGGATCCAGGCGATCGGGGTTCGATTCCCGGTCAGGGCACATGCCCAGGTTGTGGGCTCGATCAATGACTCTCTCATCATTGATGTTTCTATCTCTCTCCCTCCCTCTCCTTTCCTCTCTGAAATCAATAAAATATACTTAAAAAAAAAAAGCCTACCTTATACCACTGTGTTCTAATAAGTTTTAGTGAATTTTAAAAATAACTAAGAAACCTTTCTTCTGTTATCTATTCCTAGAAATTAAGAAATGAAGCAAATCTTTCTGCTAGATTAACAATAATCCTTAGAATTAGGAGAGAAAACACCTCACAACATATAAGCGAACATCCACCACGGTCTAGTGAGTTTCTTTCTGGGAAAAGTAAGACTCCTCAAACCTTCTGAGCCCCCAGTTGGCTCGAGCCCTTTTCCTCGCTCCCACAGGAGCACTTTATGATCTCTGGATGCTCTTCTGTGAAATGCAGCCCTGCGATAACACGATGTTGCATATTGTGATGGCCCAGCTGCAGTAGAAGTGTTTGAATTTATTTGGTGCTTTACAAAACTGCTACCCAGATACATTTATCTGTCCATAAAATCAAACTGCTTGGTTGTATACAAGGATTTTGCATTTTGAAAACATCCTGCAGCAACTGATTAATGATTCTACCAGCATTCCTAACAGCTAAATCATTGGGTTGTTCCACATGTATTGGAAGAGGCAGGCTGGGCACTTGGAAAGTTCCATGGCCTTTGAAAAGGTCACCAAGCCTGAGGGGCATTGTTCTGCTCTGGACTCTTGAGTTCCAGAGTTGCAGAGTTCCAGATTCTTGCCCTGGGTGTATAGCTCTGAGTCACCTTTGTCTAAAGCAGATAAATTCTTCATATGTAGCCTAAGAAATTTTGTGGGAGTATTCCTATGATATGGAATATTATTTTGGTTAAATCTGTTAATTTTTTTAATTCTTAGTTTTTTAATTAGACACTTACAAACCCTTTAGCAAGAACTTTGTAAACATAAAAACCACACAAATAACATATATATCTGCACTGTCCAATATGGTAGCCATGAGCTACATGTGGCTATTGAACACTTACTTTGGCTAGTCCAAATTGAGATATGTTGTAAGTATAAAACAGACACCAAATTTCAAAGACTTACTACAAAAAAACAGTAAATTATTTCATCAATAACTACCTAATGTTGGCTGCATATTGTAATGATGTTTTTAGGTCACTGGGTTAAATAAAATATATTAAAATTAATTTTACTTGTATTTTTTTACATTTTAAAAATGTGGCTACTAGAAACTTTTAAATTACATACGTAGCTCTAAATATATTTCTGTTGGGCAGTGCTGTCCATATTATTTGGAATATGTTGTTACCAGAATACCCATCCGAATTACTCATTGAGCTTTAAAAACTGGTGAACTCCTCCCATGTAAACTGTTTTAGTTTACTACAAAGATTTAAATTTTTCCATCACCTCTTCACTCACCCTAGACAAAAGTTAGTTTTCATACTGGTAGTGATAAAACTCTAAAGCACATTACAAAATCCTACTTACACCATATAGCTTTTGGGCTTCTTTTCCAGTGAGTTTTTTTCCAAATAATGAGATATATAGTATAATAACGCCATGAGGAAATTGTCAAGATTCTTATTCCTATGGGGAGATGAAAAAAGATATTAATACTAACATGTTTCTCATAAAAAATATATGAACACACAGCATAAGTAGAAATACATGTTATCATGCCTATCATACAACTAATTTCCATTTAAAATTCTATTACTATACTGTTGAAGATGTAAGAAACCTGACTTTTGTAAATAAAACTTTTGGAAAGTCAAACATTAAATTATCATTTTGAAAACTGATAAGTTGGTAAGTTTTGCTTATCAATTAGTTTTAAATTTTAAAAAGTTTTTTATTATACAAGTGATACTTTTCCATTGTTTAAAAAATGTACACAAATGTAGCAAGTAAAAAGTTCTCTTCTCTCACCCCCGTCACCATCCTATTTCCTGGTGGTAACCACTGTTAGGAGTTTGCTATGAGTCCTTCCTAAACTTTCCGAAGCATAGACAATCACGTATAAGGTACCCTCCCCAACAATCACACACCAACACACATACATATGCATGAGTATGCCTTCATTTTTTTGTAACAGGCTAATGCTGTATACACAAATCTTTACAAATTGTTTTTGTCACTCATATCTTTGTAGCAAGGACCTCTTTCCATAATACTATATACTCTTTTAAACAGCTGAGTATTCTATATCTCATAATTTATATAACTAGCTCTCTACTGATGGATATTTAGGTCTTTTAAAAATATTATAGACATGTCCTGGCTGGGTAGCTTAGTCAGTTAGAGTGTCATCCTATACACCAAAAGGTTGTGGGTTCCATTCTCAGCCAGGGCACATATCTAGGTTATGGGTTCGATCCCCAGTCAAGGTACGTATGGGAGGCAACTGATTCTCTCACACTGATGTCCCCCCTTCCTCCCCCCATTCCTCCCTCCCTCTTTCTAGAATCATTGAAAAAGAAGCGTATCCTCGGATGAGGATTAAAAATATATATATTATAGCCCGGCCAGTGTGCCTCAGTGGTTGAGCATCGACCAATGAATCAAGAGGTCATGGGTTTGATTCCCAGTCAGGGCACATGCCCAGGTTGCAGGCTCCATCCCCAGGAGGCAGCCAATTGATGCTTCTCTCTCATCAATGTTTCTCTCTCTCTCTCCTTCTCCCTTCCTCTCTCTCTCTAAAATCAATAAAAACATACATATATGTGTGTGTGTGTGTGTGTATATGTATATATATATTAGAAATTACTGCAGTGCTTATCCTTATAACCATATCTCTGCGTAACTTCCTAAGTGAAATTGCTAGGACACGGTATATATTATATACATAGTAAAGTTTCATAAATCTTGCTCTCCTAAAAGATCGCACTGATTTACAATCCCTTCTCATTCGTTTTTATACTAGAAGTCACTGTTTTCTTTCTAAATATTCTTACAAGACTTTTGCTGCTTCCTTTCCAACCCCAGATGGAAATTCTTGCTCCAGTATGCTTTCCTTAACTGTACCTTGAGAGCAGGATGAAGGTTAGCACTGCAGATTTTTTTTTCAGGATATTAATAACTACCTGTCTTAGGTTGGGTTCTCCCAGAAATTGACCCTGAGACAAAGATTTGAGAGTAAGTAGTTTACTTGGGAAGAGATCTCAAGAAACATCAGTAGGAAAGTGAGGAAGTGAAATAGGAGAGAAGGAAGCCAACAAAGGGGTTAACAAGTTCATTACCACTGTGGACAAATGAAGTCCAGTCCTGTAGGGAACTATGGGAGACAGTGCAGAAAAACCTCTCAAAGTTATCCTGACAGACGGAAGCTGGGATATTCAACTACCAAGTCTCCTGGCACATCCCAGACTCAAGGTTGCTGTGAGGCACTGACTCTCTTGAGGTCCTTGCTTGCCTTGTAGTCAGGCTGAGTGTGCTCCTCATGGAATAAAACTTCAGATAGAGAATCTTAGGTGTTTGCCAAAGCAGCCTTCACTGAATGCTGAGGGAATCTACGAAGGCTGCCAATAGCGCTGGGGACCCACCTCTCACTGAGCACTCACTAGTGCAGGTGCCATGTGAAGCACCTTCCAGTAACAGCCATGACACACCGTCTGAGGAATCTGAGGCTTAGAACGGCCAAGAAGCTCACCCAGAGCCACACACCTAGGACTTGCTGGGGCTGCCAAACACAACTAATGGAGAAAACTGATCTTCAGTAAATGAGTACACCCTTTAACTCTTATACAAATGTAGTTCAGTCTTTTCAGAACTCTGACAATATGCTCTCTACTTTCCTTGCCCTGGGACTTACTGTGGGCTCCTGTGACTTCTGGCGTCCTTTCTCTGGCCTGGTTCCTGAAAGGATGGCTTGCATAGAGCCAGCCCCACGGCCTTTCTCCAAAAATCAGATTTGTCATCATTTATCAGATAGAATTCCTTCAAAATAAAGGATAAAAGATCTAAAACGTTTCACAAGCATTACATACCTCATAAATGTTGTAAAAGAACAGATCCGCTGCATCTCAGTCTCTTGTAGCAAAAGCAAAGCAACAACTAGGGGGGAAAAGAAGATGGACATGAAAGAGGAACAAAGAGCTGCCTTAGAGGTTCACACCAGACAAGACATAAGGATGAGTGAACAGTTACTCACATTTAGCGTCATTCAGTGTAACGTTGCCCTGCTGACCTCGTTTCTCTAAGGCTTGAGATGACTTAGCATCTCTTGAAGCAAATCTTTTATCTGTCAACCTGTTTTAGAATATAACAGTTTCTAGTAGTGCTTTGATAGGTTTTAGTTGTATTTAATCTATCCTGAGGTGCATGAGACTTTTATTGTAAATTAACAAGTGCCTAAGTCTCATGCTTGGGTTTTGTTTAAGGTAGGATCATTTTGGAATATGTTTTAATATGTTTTATTTGGAATATGCATTATATGTACTATATGGGTAGGAGGAATGTACACTGCCTGGCATAAAGTGTAAAGAACAAGTCCATCCAAAATAGATCATTTAAATCATCTATTTATGGTGCAGATACCATTTTCATATTTTAAAAAAGCTAAAAATGTTCTAATAGGAAAATTATCACACAGATACATTTATAGGGACTATTGTACCTCCTACCATAATTATGAAACAGTGCATTTTTTAACTTGATGGGTATTTGCAATTCAGCCTAGGGGAATGGGAATATTTTCTTCGAGTTTGCAAAGGCTTAACCCATTCTGCTGAGAGGTGCTATCATGGCTGAGAAGTTAGGATACCTGTCTGAAGCATCAATTTCAGCAAAGTGAACTGCTTTGCCTTTCCTTCCTTTTTCCTTGGGTTCTACTGCAGGTGTAAAACTGTAATAGAAGTGAGAAAATTAGTAACTTAACCTTTTCCCAGGGGAAAACTAATCATATCATGACCGTAGCTTATGTAACCTTAGGACTAGGATATATTACGAGTGGAGCCTAAAGGGAATTTGAGGCACAGCAGTACTCAATGTATGTTTACATATGGAACAATCATTGAGAAAAACATTAAAATTGTGGGCTTTATATTCAGCCTCTACATATCAGCAGCTTCCAGAATACCATCATACACAAAACACTTCCATCTGAAAATGTAGTAACTTCACAAGAAACAAAGCTCATGATAAGTTTGGAAGAATTTTTTGATTTATTGAGTAACCTTTTCTCAGTCCCATCCCTATAATTCAAAGTTTCTTGCCTTATTAGTTTGCCTAGATAATTTGAGGCTAGAGAGCCCTAAAATAAGAAATTTGAAAGAATACATTTGGGACTATCATGTAGATCAAGTCTATGAGCTAAGTCAAATAAGCTTAGAATTATAAAATCAAAATCTGGAGGTTAGAGGACATCTAAAAGATCATCTAGTACATGGCTGTCACTTTATTGATGGAGAGAACAAAGGTGCAAAGAAGCTGACCCAAGTCTCATGGTCTGAAATTTGTGCCAGGAAGTGCCTGCCCTTAGCCAATAGTCTGGCATTTACTGTGAAACCTCTATTCTCTGACCTCTGGAAATGCCTTCCCTACTTCACACTTGTCCGAGTCGCTTTTCACTTGACCAAAGTCACTCCCTGCTCCCTGGTCAAACAGATTTCTTTGTGAGTGGAGTGCCTTAGCTCTAGAGGCAGCGTAAGGCAGGCCTATCCTCTCAGTGCAGTTGGAATCACTAAAAAGGTTACTAGAAATCACTGAAAAATGTCTTTTGAATTACACATCTGATTGGCTCCCAAACCACAGTCTGAGCTAGTTCTGTAGTGTACTATAGCCTTCACAGCCTCCTCCTCAATCTGACAACCCATTTAGAATCTGGTCATTTCACAGACTGCATTTTATTCATGAGTTTTCCTAATATTACAACATAACCATGTTGTTTCCCTTTGCCCTGAAATAAATGAGAAAAAAAAACATATTTTCCCTGTAGAACCCATCACTAAAACGCAGAGGGCTGGACCACTCTTGGCCTCCACAAACTTAGAGCTCATCAGTGGTGAGTTAGTAGTGTTCCCTCAGGTCATAAAGAAAAACAAGAGAAGTTCAGGGTTGCTGGAGGTGTAGTTTCCTCTGCTGTATGTCATCAGGGGAGTCAATGACCTTGGCAAAGACTCATATAGGCTGCTGGTTCTCTTCCAGCTGGGAGTAGAGGCACTGGAGACAAGGAAGGATAGGACTGCTCACACTGTGTCAGAGAGACGCAATGCCTCATGGGCCAACCTAGATGTGACTTGTGAATAAAGGTATTCCTCTTTAACAAATAAGAAATGGGTATGCATGCTGATAAATTATGCAACACCGTCATTTATTGCTCACGAGGCATTATATCATTTTATAGGTGAGAGAACTGATATTGGCAGGACTAAGTAACTTGACAAATGATATCCACCTAGTAAGCAGGAAAACTAGGATCGGAACCCAGGTCTCCCTGCAAACCAAACCACTCTTTACTGTTTCTTCCTTAACTGCCTATTGAGAAATAAAGACCACCCTTTCCCTGTCCGTTACTGTATGTCCATTTCTTGCATGGATGTTATGGATATCCAGTTGTATTCTGATAGTTATCTCCCTCAGGTATAATCCGAAAAGGCAAGGCAAGATCTGCCTGTGAAGAGGGTGCTAGGTCTTCTCAGAAGGGTAAGATTTCCAGTGTCATTTATCCAGGAAAATGCCAGGAAATGCAAGGTGGGAGAGAGGAAAAGGATCGTCTTCTCCTGATTTGAACTTGAGAATACCTAGAAGTCTGCAAACTCTTGTTGGCTAGTAGGTGTAAAAGGTGACCTACCTCATGTGGAAGGAGACCAGAGCAAGGAAGAGATTTCCAGATAGAATGTGAATGCCCTGAGAGCAGGCTGTTACTTTGCAAAGCACATTATCTTGGATTCATGACACTCCAAAATTTCCTCCCCTTTTCTGGTGCTCTTTCTTAGTCTCCTAAAGTCCCCTTTCCCAATTATGTTCCCTAAATGAGGGCCTATCGCAGGGTTCCATCTGGTTACTCTGTTCAGTTCCTCTGAGTAATTTCATCTACTCAACTAACACCAATAACTCACAAATTTATATTTAAGGTTCAGATGTTTCTGCAGACATATAAACTGGTACATCTGCCTACTGGACACCTTCAGTTGGGCATCCATCCTACAGATACCTCAAACTCAGTATGTCCAAAACTGAACTCATTCCCCTTTAACGTGTATTCACTATTCCTACTGCTCCCATCTCAGCAAAGAAGTGCCACCACCCATCCAGGTGTCCAAGCCAGAAAATGTGTCATCCTTGATTTCTCTATCGCTCCTAAGCCCTTATAGTCCACTAACTGTAATCATTGGAGAATCATTTAATTCTCCAATATCTTTTCAGTTTCTCTACTTCCCTCTCTTCCCTCTGACACCATCCTAATTTTAGCCACCATCATCTATCAACTAAATTTCTGCAACTGCTTCTTTTTAAAATCTATGTTTTTATTGATTTTAGAGAGAGATGAAGGAAGGAATGAAGGGAGGGAGGAAGAGAAACATCAATGTGAGAAACATTGATCGGTTGCCTCCTGTAGCACCCCAACTGGGGACTGAACCCACAACCTGGGCATGTGCCCTGACCAGGAATGGAACTGGCAACCTTTTGGTTTATGAAATGATGCTCAACCAACTGAGCCGCATTGGCCAGGGCTGCAATTGCTTCTTCTTTTGTTAATCCTCACCAGAGGATATTTTTTCCATTGATTTTTTACAGAGGGTGGAAGGGAGTAGGAGAGAGAGACACACACACACACACATTGATTGGTTGCCTCCCGCATGCCCTGATGGGGGCGAGCCTGCAACTGAGGTACATGCCCTTGGCTACAATTGAACCCGGGACCTTTCAATCCATGGGCGACACTAATCACTGAGACAAACTGGCCAGGGCTGCAATTGCTTTTTTAAAAAAATATGTCTTTATTGATTTCAGAGAGAGGAAGGGAGAGGGAGAGAGAAACACCAATGATGAGAGTCATTGATTGGCTGCCTCCTGCATGCCCCCTGCTGGGGATCGAGCCTGCAACCCGAGCAGGTGCCCTGACTGGGAAGTGAACTTTGATCTCCTGGATCAGAGGTCAGTGCTTAACTGCTGAGCCACATTGGCCAGGCTGCAATTGCTTCTTAATCGACCTCCCTGCCTCCAGTCTTGTCTCCCTCCAAACTATTTCCCATGCTGCAGGCAGTCATTTTCCTAAGATGTGGTTCTAATCACAGGTTGCTTCCCTGCTTAAAATCCTTTGATGGTTCCCCTGAACCCTCTGAATAAACTTCAACTTCTTCAGCACGGGATGCAAGACCTTTCACAATCTTGCCCTGGTCTACTTTATCTCTTAACACTTGGAACTCTATACCCAGCCTGCTGAACTATCTGCAGTCCCAAATATGTCCCATGCCCTCTCAAGAATGGGCTTTTGCAAGTGTTCCTTCTGCCTAGAATGTACTCTTCTCCTCCCCAACCGCATCTCTCTTTGCCTTATCAACTCCTCCTCCTCAGGTCTTGGCTTGGCTATCACTTCCCTCGGGAAGCCTTCCCTGTTTTCTGGGCTATGGAAATGGTCCCATATGGGTACTGGGTCAGGGTACTTGGGTAAATGTGGTTTTCCTCTGCCCTAGCCAGCCCACTGTGGCAGTGGTAGCAGATACTGGTGAATGAGCCCCAAGGGGAGCAGCAACCTCAGGGGAAGAGTTAGGGTCAGCAGCAATGCTAACAGAAGATTCTCCTTCCAAGAGTTGCCCAGAAGGGTCTGGTTTATTTTCAGGGAGGAGAGCAGCATAGATACCCCTCCCTGCGCTTTCGAATTCCCATGCTTCATGCTTTCCTGTCTGTATTACCTCCTTCCCACCACACTCTGTGGAAAAACGGCTTCTCTTTCCCAAGCTAACCTGTGATCTTGATCCTGCTCCTACCTTCCTTCTTTTCTCCTACATCTTTTCTTTCTCCCAAAATAAATGAATACTTTTCCGACCTTTAATACAAAACTAACAAAAATCCCCTTCACTTAGTACTGCATGCTCTAAAGGTTATCACCTCTTTCTTTCCTTTTTCATTGGTAAACCTACTGATAAGAGTGCTCTGTTTTTGCTAGTTTCTCATCTTTACTTCAGATTCTTTCCTCCTTTAATTTCTCTCTTGACCTAATTTCCACCCTCCCGCTCCCCTGGAACTGTTGCTCACGTAAGTCCCTAGCAATTCCTAACTTGTTAAATCCAAAGAAAGGCCTCTTTTTAGTATTTGCCCCACCCTGAGCTCTCCTTAAGCATCTAACATTGCTGATCACTCTCTACTCCAATCCCTCTTAGAAAATCTTATTTTGCCTTTAAAGGCCTGTGTGTCTCAGGGTTCTTCCTCTGACTCTTCTAATCATTTTCTTTAGAAGGAGTCTTTGACTCTCCATTCTCCTGCAAGTCATCTCCCCCGTGGTTTGCTGCATAACTGTCTTCTCTCCCTAGTTCTAATCTCACCCCTCCATGCTACCAAGGGAGAGGGCTTCCTAGAGCATAGATGCAGTGTCATCATGTATGCTCGGTAAAGGTGGAGCAATACCAAACAGAACTATGTCTCAGAGCAGTGACCAAACTGGCCTTCTGCCTCTGCAGCGCCCATCCGTACCACTGTCCCCTCTCAACCTCCTCTGCCTCTGCCATGTCTCATCACCATACATTGGGGTGACCTACTCTGCAGCACTGTCTCTGAAAAAAAAGAGCATGTTCCAGCTCATGTATCCTGTCTTCAAGCCTACATTTCAATTTGTGATGGGATATGCTTAGACTTTGGAAGAGAATCAGTACCTGTATTTCCATCAAATGCAAACACTAACTCTGACCTAAAACACACAAAGTTCTGCTTTTCTCTTCCTTAGTGTTGTCCCTAGCAGCTGGGCTCCCAGGGTAATCCTGATACTGAGGTTTGCCACACTGAGTTGCTTTAACACAAAGCATTCCCCACCACAAAAGAGTTGCCCCCTCATCTATTCTTCATAGCATTCCTTTCCCCATCTCTCCTAACGGCCACCAATTTGTATATTCCATAGAGTCTGGAGTTTGGGTTTGTTTTAACTTTTTAAATTGAAGTATAACTCACATGTAGTAAAGTATATAACTCTTAAGTGGACAGCTTGGTGACTTTTTTACTATGTATATCCATGTAACCACCATGCAGATCACTATATAGTCCATTTCCAGCACCTCAGAAGTTTCTCTTCTACTTGCCAGTTGATAATTCCCCAAAGGTGACCATTATTCTGACCTCTATCATCACAGTTGTTTTTTGTCTGCTATTTTAAACTCATATATAAACAAAATCATACAGTATTTACATTTTTCTTGTCTGGTCTTTTTTGTTCAACATTGTGCCATATAATCCATCTTTTAAATCAACCATCCATGTATATTCTCCAAAATTAGTGGAAATCAATCAAGCCAGTTTCAAAGAATAACTTGATAATAAACCAAAAGGAACTTTAGTTTATGAACATGAATATTTTATTAATAAGAAAGTTGGTGTAAAATTGGTATCTGTGAGTTTATTATTAGTAAGCTTATATAGGAAATAGTGCCACTTAGGGAGGGCTATTATTAGATTAGCACTGAAAATTAGTTTGAAAAATACTATAGCCCAGCCGGGCATGGCTCAGCGGTTGAGCGTAGACCTAGGATTTAGGCAACTGGGGTTTGATTCACCATCAGGGCACATGCCCAGGTTGTGGGCTCGATCCCCAGTCAGGGGCGTGCAAGAGGGGCGTGGTGAGACTCTCTCACCATTGATGTTTCTATCTCTCTCTCCCCCTCTCCTTTCCTCTCTCTGAAATCAATAAAGATATATTTTTTTAAAAAGAAAAATACTACAAATTAAGTTTATTTACAAAGACAGTAAGTAAAAAAGTATGGCCCAGTTTTCATGACAGAAAAGGGGATTGAAATGGCCTTTAAATATATAAGAAATTTGAAAAAAAAAGTTGGCACTTAAAAATGTATATCCACATGTTCTTGTGCTTTAAAATGTATTTTGTCTGTCTAATCCCAAAGCTATCTTGCTGTCTTTCTTACTGTTTATCTCACACTCACTGAGGGGGATGTTTCTACTCAACAGAATTTTCCGTGACATATCTGAGAACAAAAACTGAAATCACTGCCTTGGAAATGACAGATTACTCAAATACTGAAATAAACACTCTATGAAACATAAACTTTTGACTACGATTATAATGTACTGTTTAGTCTTTAAGTTATTTATGTTTTATTAACATAAATATGATGTAACTTTATACATCTCCTTTCCTGGCCTCCAGCTTCATCTGTCCAACAGTCTAAATGACATATCCACGAGACCATGTCATAGCATCCTCGAACACATCACCAATTTTGCCTCTTTCAATCTGTATATGGGTGAAGGGCAATCCCAGCCACCCAACAACCTAAAGCAGATATGTGGGTGTCAACCTAAACATCTAATTCTCCCTTCACACCCAGGCACCACATTCTATCAATGCTACCCAAACTTCCTGTCAGTTCAATCTTTTAAATATTTCTAAGTCCTGCAGCCTTTTCTCTATTGCTACCAACATGGAATTAGTCCTGTTTCTTACCTGTATAACTATTTGTAATCCTCCTACAACTAACCTAATTGGTCCCCTGCCTCTAGTTTTCCTGTGCTTGAATATAGCTGACTTATTGAAAAATAAACATTTGGTGAATGTCTACTTTGTGAAGTTCTGTAGATGGCTCCGGGTCAGGAAGAAGAGTGAGACAGCTCCTGCCATTGACTGGTGAGATGCCAGTGTATATTTATTTTATTTTCTATACCCTTTTTGTATTGCTTGAATTTTCTTTTTACCCCAAGCACATGTAATTTTTCCAAAAGCTATAATAAAGTTTTATAAAAATTTACCTTTTGAATTCAAGAGTTTTGGTTTCATCTCTCCAGTACCACACGCCTAATCGTAGTCCCAACTGCTGTAAAATGAAAGGATTGCAGCAAAAATAATTAAAAGTTCGATTTACAACCCACAGGCCACAACAAACATTTAACAGTAATTCCTGTTAGTTGTTCTTTATTCCATAGAGATGTAGAAAGTTAAAGTGTTGTGTGTGTGTGTTTACTCGAAGCCAGGCTTTTCTCCTTTCTGTTTTTAGGTGTGGTTTCCATAGAAAGGAAGGAAAGGGAGAAGGGAGAAGGGAAGGAAGGGCGGAAGGCAAGTGGCAAAACCCAGGCTGCGCCACGGATCTCAAGGCCACGCCAGCGGCCGGCCGATCGCCTGGGAC